CTGTTTCCATAAAGATTACAATCTTGGAAACCCTGTGGGATAGTTTTACTCTGTGCTATAGGAGCCCTGGAGTCCTGGTGTGGTGCTGTAAGATAAGCACTGGACTACTACTAACTGAAAGGGCAGTAGTTCAAACCTACCAGCCACTCTGCAGGAGAAAGATGAGGCTTTCTGCTCCCATAAAGATTTACAGACTAGGAAACCCTATACAGGGTCACTATGAGTCGGAACCTACTGGACAGCACTAAGCAACATCATAGGGTTACTATGAATTAGAATTGACTCATTGGTAGTAGCTTTGTTTTTGGTTTTCTTTGATAAACTCTTGAGTTCTATCTCCTGAAGTCTCTCTGGCCATTTACACCCCTTTAAATTCCACCTGCCTTTAGTATGACAGCATTTGTGTACTTACCTTCCTTTAAAAAGCATACACTCCTTCCAAGAAATCCTTATATTTTCGTTTTCACATATCCCCTTAATGTGCACACTGTTGGTACTAAGTGCCATCAGTCAGTTCTGACTCCTAGCGACCCTGTATAGGGTTTCTGAGGATTGGCTGGTAGGTTTGAACTGCCAACTATGCAGTTAACAGTCCAGTGTTTATCCTACAGGGCCATACCAGGATTTCAGTACACACAGTAGATGCTTTGCAAATGTCTGGTGAGTGGATGAAGTTCAGATGCATCCACGGTGTCATCATAGTCCTATCTGGTCTAAAAGACAAGCCGTGAAGGCACGGAGTTACAGGCACATAGAGCCCTGGACCACAGGTGAGGAGCCGTGGGTTTTCGGGCCAACTCAGCCAAGAGTGAGAACTTAGGCAAAGCTTCTTGCCTCTAAAGAGGGGCTCTGTACACTAGGTAATCCCTCCCGCTCTAAAATTCAATGCAAATAGACCTGCTGACCTCATACTAAGAAATGGTGGTGATGGTGGTGATGTGCCGTGGAGTCGGTTCCAACTCATAGCAACTCGGCACAAGGTTTCCGAAGCTGTAAATCTTTACAGGAGCAGAAAGCCTCTTTTTTCTCCCGTGGAACAGCTGGTAGTTTCGAACTGATGACCTTGAGGTTAACAGCCCAACTCATAACCACTATGTTACCAGAGCTCCTTATACTAAGAAATAGGCTTCTTTTACACAGTAGTTTAAAATAAACTTATTTTATATATATATAATATATATACATCTGTATTATATTTGTTGTTGTTGTATGTATTATATATATAATATATATATATGTATTATATATCTATCTATATCCACCACCAACTGACTCAACGGCACTAAACAACAACAGCAGATCACATAAGGATTTGCTATAGGATCAACACTGGACTGCAAACCACAAGGTTGACAGTTCAAACCTACCAGCAGCTCCTTGGAAACCCTATACAGGATCACTATGAGTTGGAACCAACTCCACGCATTTAAGAACAACAATCACATAAATTTTGGTTTTCAAATAATGAGATTGGTAAAAATAAGTAAGCAGTACTATAATAATTACATATTTCTGAAACTTAATGACTATATCTGCTTAGCTGTAAGACTTTGTCATTTTGCTACCATCCTTACTTCAAATTTCACTACAGATTTGTAATTTCTTTTAACTCAGGAATAAAATAAGAGCAATATCTACCTTAACAGAAAACAATGAATATAATACCTTATATAAGAAAAATGCAAAGCACCAATTCTCAAAAACATACCTATTATATTACAATAATGTAACATTTATCAAACATTAACAAAATATTAGCTAGAATGCTCTTCTTGTTGTTAAGTGCTGTGGAGTCCGTTCTGACTCATAGCTACCCTGTATAGCGTTTCCGAGGAGCGGCTGGTGAATTTGAACTGTCGACCTTGTGGTTCAAACAGACTTGCAGTCCAGTGCTTTATCCCATAGTGCCATACCAGGACTCAAGTAAGTAGAATGTTGTTGTTATTGTTAAGTGCGGTGGTCAGTTGACTCACAGTGACCCTGTATAGGGTTCCTAAGGAATAACTGGTGAGCTTGAACCAGGAAAAGTTAAATTAAGTAGTTGAAGAACTCATCCAGTCTAAATTAGACGAAAACAGGGGTGAAGTGAGGAAAGAATTACAAATGAAATATAATACAAAAACCTGACATGTTACTATTGTAAAAGACAAAGGGGTGGTCTTAAAAGGAGAAATAATATTTGGGGATGTTTACACATGGCAGCGCTGTAGAATAAGCACTGGACTGGTAACCACAAGTTCAAACCCATCAGTCAGTCTCAGAAACCCTGTACAAGGTCACTACGACTTGGCGCACAAGAGCAACACACACTCAAATTAATCCAATTAGGGGAAGAGCTAAACTCACTATTACTAAGATTGCTAATGTAATTCAGTTAGTAACAAATGAATTGGAATTTTGAAACAAATGAATTGTAATTCAGTCAGTAATTTTACATTGGTTTTTGTGCTTAGAAAAAATTTTAATCTCAATGTACTTATTAGATTCTTAGTTATCATTCAAGGAGCTCTGGTAGCAAGTAGTGGTTATGAATCGGGCTGTTAACTTCAAGGTCAGCAGTTAAAAACTACCAGTTGTTTTTCGGGAGAAAGATGAGGCTTTCTGCTCCCTTAAAGATTTACAGCCTGGGAAACCCTGTGCAGGGTCACTATGAGTTGGAACCGACTCCAAGGCACATAACAACAACAGAGATCATTCACTCAGCACAGGACAGTTGGTCCCTGAGTCAATGCTGATAACCCCCTCCTAAAATTGCATGCCATGGACGAACAAATCCCTCCAGACATTAACACCAGGAAACCAGATGCGGGTGCATACCCTCTCTGTCTTCAGTAAGAGTCACTATTTTTAAAATGCAAAAGCCAGCATTTGTGGCTATTTCGGATTTTATGAATTCCTCAGTTCAGAAGGGTTGGCAGTACGGTGGCCACCTCATAACTGCAGGTTGGTACAGGTTGTTGGTGTGTGTGGGAGGGGTGAAGAGAAGAAGACTCCATTAGCTGGGTCAGGAAGGAATGTTGTCAAGCTCACTCATGTCCCGGAGACCCCACCTCCACAGCCCCGGAAATCAACACCAGTGGGCAGAAAACACACCCTTGCTCAGACCTAGGGAATTTTTCATTTGGTCCTGTTTTCCCTTCTCAGAGAGAAATAAAACCTGACACGTTTATAAACAAGGTTTAAATTAGGAAAACAGAACACAGGAAATTATGCTGTAGTATGAAAAAACACTGAGTCTTGAGAAAAGTGAATGTTTTCATGAAGAAACCACTTATCTTTAAGCAGTTCATTGTTTAGTGAATTCTTTTAAATACTACTTTTCTACAAAATGTTAACCAAGCAGATGGAATACTCAATAGTATTAATTATTTTCAATTTAAAAGATAGAGGCTCTAAGATAACAGAAGCATATTTTTTCCTTTTAATCCTTGGTTCATAAAATGTCGAAAAGCTGCTGAAAAGTCCTTACACAGAATTCTGCTTGGATTTGTAATGTGCTTCTCAAATATTGGAAAACGGGAGGGAAAAACTTCTGTCACCCAAATCACAATAAAAAAAAATTTTTTAAAAAGATAAATTCTAGACTTAAATAATTGGCAAATGTCTAAACCAAACGAAAATAAAAACTTGCCACACGTCCTCCCCAATCCTTCTGTGTGTTACTTGGCACATTGTTCCTGGAAATTCCCAGGTATATTTTGTTGCGAAAACGTTTGGATATTGAGACAATTCTTTTCTAACTCAAAAAGTTAAAATAAATTAAGATACTATGAGTAAAAAAAAAAAAAAATCTAAGCGCAAAATCGGTTGCAACTGAAGCAGTCCCTCTGTCTACAAAACTGCTTGCAAACAAAAACCCTTTGGAGGATATTCAGGTTACTCCTCCCCAGCCTAAGGCCACAGCGCAGGCAGTACTCGGTTTCAAAGCCCTGGGCCTCTAACCCAAAACCCTAGGTGAGAAAGCCCTACATGGGGCGGGAGGAAAGCAGGCAGTCAAACTCTCCCAGCTCGCGTGGGTATCCAGAGTCCGCCTCCGGAGGCCAGGTTCACTATCTCCCCCACCCATCCAATGACCCCCTCGGACTGTTTCCGCGAAGATCCAAGCACCTTCGCCAGGCTGGTCCCCAGCGTGGTTGGCTGCTGCGCGAACTGGTTCTGGGCGCCTGTGGCACCACAGCTCCCTGCCCAGACGCTCCAACATCAGGAGCAGAATGCCTACGAAACGGCGATGCTCTCTACCAAGGCACTGGGGTAGTTCATAGAGTGCTTTTTTTAAAAAAAATGGAGCAAACCAAGGGCCAGATGGTGCACAAGTTGGCTGGGGAAAACAAGCGCGTCTCCGCCCTGCGGCTGCCCAGTCCAGGAAGCTCCACTGGAGAGAAGAGGGGACGGCCGAAGCGGGGTCCCGTCTATGCGTAACCTCGATCTGGGCACTGTCTGCGGTTCAACTCCCCTTGGTGACCGGAGAGCTCGGGCTCCAGCGCGATCGTGATCTTAAGGTGGATGGGAAGGTAGGGAACCAAGTTTGGTTACTGCTCGGGGGTTAGCTTTTGTTGTCACAACCACGCCTTGCCTGGGCTCCCACCTGCCAGCCGGGGAAGCTCGGAGCCCGACACAAAGGTGCTAAGGCCGGCCTGGCAGAGGGGCAGCTGGGGAATGGGAGAGAGACGACTCCCCGGGCTTCCTTCCCCTCGCGCCTTACTGGGTTCCCGGCAGGCGGAGTTTAAACGACCCGCTCCGCCCCTAGCAGGTTGTGGGAAGGGAGGCAGATAGAACGGAGTCCCAACTTCCAGGAAAACTGAACTTTCTTTCTCTCCCAGCATTGACCCACTCCCTACCCACGTCAGCGTAGCGCACAGGGGCGCCGGACACCTGGGCACTGTTCCCAGCCGGACCAGGAAACAATTCCTGATCTCGAGCAAAAAACCATTCGATTTTCTGGACCAGGGTTTCCGTCCCTCCCTCCCAACTTCCTAGGAGTCGGCTCGGAGAGCACCCACCAGTAGCCGTCCGAGTTAACGTCGGTGACCGTACAGCGCCGCGTGTAGTACATCCTGCCGTTAGCGCCTCCGCCGCCGCCACCGCCACCACCGCCGCCGCCGCAGGTCATCTCATAGCGCAGGTCCGGGCCGGACTCTGCGCGCGTCATGCGGCCCAGCGTGTTGATCCTTGGGTGAGAGCCCCCATTGCAGCTCATCTTGGCGGCGCCACGCAAGAGCGGCTCAGCGCCGAGGCATAAGCAAGAGTGGCGACTGGAGGAAGTCCGAGGAGGCTTCAAAAGCAGAGATACCGAAATGGAGGGGGGCGGTGCCGAAGTTTCTCAAGGACGCTCTTCAGCGCCGAGCAGTGCCCTCCCCTGGGAGCGGCGCGGCCGAGTGGAGGTAGGGGAGCGGGAGAGGCGCGCTGGGAGCGCGCGGACCGTGGAGGTGCAGGAGGAAGAGCTGTGTCTCGGAAGGTGGCGAGAGCGCAGAGGAGCTGCGTCGCGGCTGGGTGTTGGTGTTGGTCGGCGGGGGTGCAAGTCTCCTCCCCGCTGGCTCCCGGCGCCGAGGCCACACCTGGCCAGTTTCTTCCCAGGGCGGGGTTCAACTGCCGCGCCTACCCCATCCCCCGCTGGTGTCATCGGCGCCCCGGAACCGCCCTCCGCATCTGCGCTTGCCGGCCTGCGACTCAGCCCAGCGTCGTCGAGACCTGAGCCACATCCCAGAGGGGCAGGAGGGACAGGGACTGGTCAGTCATGTAGGTGCTGTGCTTGGCGACTGAGGACGGGGCCCCTCGCCTTTGAGGATTTCCTCCGTCCACAAGGCAGAAATAGGCTGGGAAATAAGGGTCTTATTAAACATTTGTTTATCCTTGGAAAGGATGCTTTTTAAAATGTGTTTGGGGGGGGGGGGGTTCCTCCCAGTAATCTATAAAATTGTTTCAAACATCCGGTTTTTGACGTGTAAAAACTATTTTTACAGATAGCCATAACTTTGTGGCGTTTTCACCACACACAATTTCTTTGATTTGAAGATAAACAGGAAAACATCCCAGTTCTTTTCTTTGGGACATGAAACATATAAATAACTGTTCCTTTTATTTTTCCTTTTCTTGGTAATTTTAAACAGAGTACTAAAAGGCTCCAACCCCCACCTCCAGCGCCCCCCCCCCCAAATTTTGTTGCAGAACCTTAGGAAGCTGCTCTTTCTAGGCCCCCTAAGCACCTTTTCCCCCAAATCCCGCCCCTTTCGGAAGTCGGAACTTTTCCCAGTTAGTGGCCAAGGCCCTTCTGGGAGTAAGCCCTTTTGACAACAGTGGACAGAGATCACCCACATTGTACAGACTCTGAGTCAACATTCCACCTCCCAGCTCCAAAGCCACTCCCAGTTTAGGGGCAGAGTGTTAACTAACCTGTAGTCGCCAGGATCCTGTTTAGAAATCGAACCAGCCAAACTATGCCTGGGAGCGGGATGGCTCCAAACATTGAGCACAGGGGAGCAAAACCCCAAGGTCCATGGTTGGAGCCGCCAGCCACTCTGCAGGAGAAAGATGAGGCTTTCTGCTCCCTCGAAGATTTACAGCCTCCGAAACCCTGTACAGAGTGGCTTTGAGTCAGAATGTAACTTGGGGAAATTGTTAAATTGCTTCTTAATAAGCAGCATTTAAAGATGTGTGTAAAAAAACTTTTCTCCTCTTCCTAAACAATGCCTTGTTATACAAAGTATTTATGAAAATGTTCGTAAACTGAAAAGAACAAAAATCAAACTGTAATGTCAGTATGCTGCAAAGGGAATGGGAAACGATTTCTAAAATTTGCTATATTTTAAAACTCTTAATTACAACTCACCTTTTGGGCATAATCTTTGATCAGTTATTTTGTCATGTTTCTTCACAATTGACCACAGAATTGATGAGCTTAAATTCAAGGAGTAAAAAACATTATAGGGTAAACGTTTATTGTTAGTACACCCAATAATTTTCTATTTTCTCTCATTTTTAGTAAAGGAAAAATGTGATAAAGTGTCTAAATAAGTTGCACAAAAACTGACAAGAGTGTTTCTTCTGAAACTAAAGCAGTGTCTGAGAGCCAGCCCCAGCACTAGCAGTCCATGCATGAGGTCCATTGGCTGGAGGGGAGAAAGGACCAGGTGTAACATTTCAGGATGTCAGTGTACAGAATTTGAATTGGGATGAATTCCTTCTATGTACCTCATTTGTGCAGCAAATGTGGCTAAGTTAGTGTGGAAAGCCTATACAGGGTTGCTATGAGTTGGAATCGGCTTGACCGCACACAGCCAACACCAACAACTACTATGTGATGGGCCAATGTCAGACTCTGGAAGATGCGAAGATGAATAAAAAGTAGTCCTTTTAAACTTTATTTGAAAAAAAAAGAACTATTCCTTTTTTTCCCCCCAATAGTGTGTCCTGGTATGGAGCTGCAAGTTAATGTGCTGGACTGAAAAATCAGTTTGAACCACAGGGTTGGTGGTTCACAGGGTCACTATGGGTCAGAACTGACGCAACAGCACTTAACAACAACAGTGTGTAATAAGGGTATGAAGCTGCACAGAGTTCTTATAAACAATATACATTTTCGTACCACTTTTCATTATTAAATATAGCTCCAACTAGCCAAGAGACCCTTCTGAGAACTCACAGTCAGTTCCCAAGAGTCAGGATACACAGAGATCCATATGCCACCCAGATTCACTCTAAAAAATAGGGACAAAAGGCAAAAAGCACAGCCCAGCAAAATTATACACTCTGGTTGCCTTTGTTTTCAGGCATATCTTATTGCCTCTTGCTTCTTTAGGTATTCCTAAAACCCCAATGAAGTCCTGGTATGGCGCTGTGGGGTAATGCGCTGGACTGCAAAGTCGGTTTGAACCTCAGGATTGGCAGGTCAAGCTCCTTAGAAACCTAAACAGGGTCACTATGGATTGGAACTAACTTGATGGCACTTAACAAGACCCAACCCCAAAAGGCTTCCACTAACTATACACACAATGTCTGGGAAAAAAATGTCTTCCATTTCAGAATCAATTCAGTGGTAATGGGTTTGGTTTTGATTTTGAAGAGGTATAAGGGCCTTGGGTGGTGCAAATAATTTGTGCTAAACTACTAACTGAAACTGAAAACGAGGGCTTCTATAATGGAGGGCAGCGGTTAAACGATGTGCGAGAACTGCGCAGACCTGGTTGTTGTTGTTGTTAAGTGCCGTCGAGTCAGTTCTGACACATAGTGACCCTGTACAGGGTTTCTGAGGCTGTAAATCTTTACCGGAACAGAAAGCCTCATCTTTCTCCTGCAGAACCACTGGTAGTTTCGAACCGCTGACCTTAAGGTTTGCAACCCAATTCGTAACCAATACGCTACCAGAGCTCCTTAGCAGCCCTTAGGGCATGGTAGAACTACCCCCACTAAGATTTCTAAGACTATACTTTTTACAGGAATCAACTCACATCTTTGTCCTGAGAAATGACTGATGGATTTGAACCACTGACCTCTTGGTTAGAAGCTGAGTGCTCAACCACTTAATGTGCCACCAGAGCTCATCCATATAAAGCTAAGGTACCACCCATTAAACCAAAAGTTCTTTTCTGGACATGAAATTTTAGCTTAGTGCTTCTCTCTTTACACACATGCAAATCAATAAAACTCCCTCTTGGAGACATTTACACATTCATCCATTTAAAATCCAGTTTCTGAACATGTACTATGTGTCTCATAATAGGTTCAATGCTAGACACAGAAACATGGATAAGGTATAGCTCCTGCTCTGTGGGATATCAAAGACTGCAACAAGAAAAGATAATTACAAATTTGGGCATGCTATAATAAAGGAATGTTTGTAGAGCTGTGGGAACACAGCAGAGGAGTCTTTCTTACAGTGAGGGTTAAAATTTCACAACCCAAAGTCTGACTGAGCCCTCACTAAGGTCAGCTATTTTTTCCCTGCCACTTGTACATATCTCCCCTGGCACTGATAGAGTCAAATCACTGGCACACCACTTTCTCTCGGTTTGACCATGGACATGACCTTGCAGCTACGAAGGGGACCTTAGTCCGATCCTGAGCATATCTTTAAAACGAAATGAAACATCTCAGTTTCAGTGAGATTAAGGATTCTTTACCTGCCCAAAATCATACGGAAATTATCTCACCTCTCTTTTTTGGTAAATGGTATCAAAACTCGTTAGTTAAAACAACTCCTCAGTCTCCCTGGACATTGCTGTTGTTATTCTGACACATAGTGACCCTGTATAGGGTTTCCGAGGAGCGGCTGGTGAGCTTGAACCACTGATCTTTCTGTTCAACCAATCTGGCAGTTCAGTGCATTAATCCACGGCACCACAGGGGGACTATTTTTTAAATTCTGTAGAAGTTTAGGATTGGAACTTACATCATAGTTGAATAATGTGAGGTAAAGAAAATGCCTATTAGAATGATAGACCAGTTTTTGTTATGGATATATACATGTGAGAGTACGTTAAAAAGTATTGCTCTAAATTCATAGAAATCTTTATTAAACAAAAATATACAAATGTGAAGTTAATGTTTCTTAACGTATTGTCTTTCTAGGTCTATGGTGTGGTGCCGCAGGATGATACGCTGGACTGAAAGGTCAGTTTGAACTGCAAGGTTGGCAGTTCAAAACCACCAGTCACTCCTTGGGAACCCTATACACGGTCGCTTCAAGTCGGAACCAACTCGACGGCACTTAACAACAACAACTCTTACCTGAAGAATTTTGCTTTCTTTGACTTATACTACATCAAAATGTTAGTTTTGGCATCCTTGAGGGACTCAAATCATGTTTCTTCAAGTTTGGGAACAAAAAGAAATCTACAGGGATAAGATCAGAACTGTAGGGCCGATGGGGTAAAGTTTCTCAACAAATTTCTCATGGCACGGTCCTTGCTGTTTTCAAAGAATGAGCAGATGTATTGTCATGTTGGAAAATAATTCTTTGGCACAACTTGCCTGACCTTTTTATCACCAATGCATTTTTCAATTTTGTAACTTCTTCATAGTAAGCCCCTATGATTATCCTGTTTCTTTTGAGAAAATCTGTGGAGATTACCTCTGTGGAGTCCCAGAGCAGTTGCCATACCCTCTGAGCTGACATCTCTGCACTGAGGTCTTCCCAACCTTCTTTAAAATGCTTGATCGATCTAAAAATGGTTTTATGTGGGGCATCATAAACTTGATGCAAAGCTTCAATTTGGGGGGAATGGTGCCCCCCCCTTT